TACGGGTCCGACAGAATTCACTAATTTTGGATAAAACCTTTGTATTTGTGTTTAAAAATCAATAAAATTATCATTTTTCTATAATCTAGAATTAGTTAACTCAAAATTCTAGAAACGTCTCTTAGGTGAAATTGTCCCGGACACCTCAAAAGGAAAAAATGTTGTAGATAAGTTTTCGAGAAACTTTTGCATGCATGGGTCCATGCATAGTGGAAATTGTAATTACATGGAAATGTTTTAGTAATTGTCTAGTTATAGATGAAGGAATATATATATGTATGTATGATTACATTTAATCAAATGTCAAATATTATTGTGCCTTTGGTTATTTGTAGCTTTGTTATTTGGCATATTGAAAAAGTGTTATATCCAATTAAATGAAGCCAAATTATCTTTTATCAATTATAATAATAATTTCATGTTACTGATGAAACCATGTTACATATGTGTTTTTTCACAAGGAAGCACTAAATATGTTTGTCTTTTTATTTCTTTTTTCAATCAATTTTTTTTTCACTTTTTCTATAAGCCAAGAGTGTATATATGTGTCCTTTAAATGGCCACGATGGGCTGGTCTTAAAATTCTTGAGATATAAAACATTTTTTATGCTAATTATTTTAATAACATAATTTATATTTTAAGATGTTAAACAATATCTTGATAAATTCGCATATTCGTGGCACCAAGTGTTTTGAGTTACAGGTTATAATTTAGACCTCCTCGCGATGAGAGTCGTTATTTGTTTTACATTTTCGAATTCGAGAGAGGAATTTTTCTCTTATCTCTCAAGTTATAGACATTGAAGTAATCGAAAATTTTATTTTTATTTTTTATTTTATTTTAAAAAAAAATAATTATGGTCACAGTGTCTTATTAACAAATCCACATGAAATGAGTTTTATCTTATAAATCAATTTAACTTCCAAATAATTAGATAAATCATAATCTCTCTCTCTCTTTCTGTTTGGTGATGATAGCACTTAGAGGTAATTGATGAATGTACCAGTGCATATTTTGATATCGATAGATATATTTATGCACGGATATACTAAATATTTGATATCAAATACACTTGATAAAATTGATTTTAGAAACACAGGTACATAAAATTGATATTGGATACATAGATGCGTAAAATTTGTGAAACTCAAATATGTATATTTTGAAATGCATATACATAAGGAGAGAGGAGAGAGGCGAGCGAGAAAGTCAGTGTATCCAGATACATGTGAATACTGTTTAAATATAGTGCATCTGGAATAAACTACACCAAATTTGACTCGGGTATATCTAAGATACATGTATTTGTTTCGTCAGATACATGAATCCGGAACAATACTTTTCTAACAGATAATATAATCAAAAAAATTATAATTTCAACATGTAATTAGCACCAATAATAATGTGCTTTGTGTTATTTCCTATAATTTTATCCTAATGCTCATACAATGTGATTTTTCCTATATTTTGCAAATAGTACTAGCATGGGCTAGCCACTTTTAGCTTTTAAATTACAACATATATAGCTACAAATTACAATTGTGGAGTACATGTATCACATTCTATATTGTGTTGGTTGTGGATATTGACTTGAAAATGAATGTGGAACAATGATAATGAATTGTAATTCTTTAAGCAACAACAAAGAACCATAACAAAAATTAATTATAATATTCAATTTTTATAATTTTAGCCAAAATAATCATTGTAAAATTTGTGTATGCATTATATTATATACTTATCATAAATGTTTATACATCAATGAAGCCTACAAACGATCAAGATTAAACGATTGAAAAAAATGGCTAAAAATATTAAGATATCTATTTGATTATAATTTCAAACATGAGAACTCAATTGGACATTCTTTTTGGCCTTTGCAAAATCCAGATCTGTTTATTAGGCCTGAAGAGAGCACAACATTTGCACTTTTGTCTCTATTTTGTGTTCGGAAAAAAGTTCAAAATTACCCTTAAACTATTCCAATAACTCACATTTACCCTTCGTTTGTTTTTGGCATCGAAACTACACTCGACATCTATGTTTTGGACCACAAATGTCCTTAAAACTTTATTTTTGCCAATAGAGCTGACATGGCAATCCAACGTTTTAATTTTTATTCCTCATTGTAAATCTTTTTTGAGGGACATAAATTTATATTTCATATCATAATATTTCATAAATAATGTTTCACGCCCTTAAGAAAAACTTATGTCCTGCTACATGTAAGTTTAATTTATTACAACAAAATTTATGACCAACTCATTTAAAGAGCAAAATTCAAAACTGCCTCATTTAATGGCCAAGCCGTTCAATTAAATGCTTTTGGGCTTAGCCCAATAACTCTACATGTTGCTCCTTCCTCTCTATTTTGTGTTAGTAAAAAGAGAAAAAATTAGAAATGAGCAAATAACCAAACATAATAGACATAAAAAGACTCTATAGCTATAGTTTTGATAATTATGTTTCATAGCTATAGTTCTGTTTGTTATGGAGGTTGTGGTCTGTATATACAAATTTTGTATTTATACATTTAGAAATTTTTCAGACTTCCGTTTGTATATTTCACTTGCCAATATACAAACAAGATAATTTATTATGAATTTTTCATAAATCGTATATAAATAGTTAGGATAAGTATATACAAAATTCTGAATTTGTACAATTAGAAATCGAATTATACAAATTCTGAATTTATATAAAACAGGCGAATAGCAAGAATTGGAAAAACTTTAGCCGCGAATTAATAGTACCTAATATAGGTTAAATGTTTGTTATTCTGTATAATTTTTCCTAGTAATAATGCGAGCAAGACACTTTTTAGCCTTATAATTGAAAAATAATCATTGCAACAAGATTTTAAATCTCGAATTAAAATTCAAATATAAAGTCCTCAAATTTCATATACCTTGATTTGAACATTTCATGATTGTGTTAAAATTTTATTTATAGAGATTAAAAATGATTATTTGTGAATTTGGCTCCATTAGAACTTCAAAATATTAACTAATTATTACATGAGCACAAAATGGCGTCAAACATTTTGGTAAAAAAAATCTACTGTTACATTCTATCACACAAAAAGGAAAGCTGGGAATTTTTTAGTAAAATCAGTTCAGAATAGTTAGAAGAAACAAGTGAAAAACATTCCACTAGAGATCGACTCTGGAGTCGGACAGCCAATGAGTTGTGGTGGAATGGTTGAAATTTCCCTTTTGGCCAACAATAATCGGAGAACCCCCAAGCTGCAAGCAACTAAAAAACACAAAAAAAATCTCATTTGGCCAACAATAATCGAAGGACCCTCAAGCTACAACCAAGAAACACGAAAATTTAAGTAAAAAAAGAAAAACGGATACAATGACCATAAAAATACTAGAACTGTTATGCATCATCGCAAGAGGAAAGCTTAACATGCAATTACCTTGCAAGACGGATGATGATACCAAGAAAGTCGATACAGGACCTCCTGCAGACCAAGAAAGTCGCACCTATCACTAAAGAGCGTTAATTGAACACTCCATGACTTTCTTAAGACACGGGCATCGCAGTCAGTCCTAATCAGCAAGCTGAAAAACCTCCATCACAATCAACGGTAACTAAAGAAACTACAACTACTACTACACCTCAATCCCAAATAGTAAGTAAAGAAACAACTACTACTACTATGCCTCAACCACTATGAAAAACAAAAGAGACGTTGCAATAGGCAGCGACTATTGTCAGAACTAAGAAAGCTGCTCAAACAACAAAAATGAGTCAATACAACTACATCAAATACAATTGATGTACACTTACAACAAGAAATCATCTCCAGACGAGAAGTATCTCAATAAAATTTATAATGACTGAGTTTCAGTTATCACCTTTTACAGACTTCATCAGCAAAATCCAGTGTGTTGCAGCATGACACATTGAAACTGCGTTTTCACCAAACTTGAATTGTAAAGACAGACTTCTCCATTGCAGCAGATACCAATAAGAAGATTTTTCGTTAATTGACATGTCAAACTTACCTCTACCAGAAGAAAGTAACTTATGGTGCAATCACCTACCACAGAGCACTTAAGTAGCCAATCCTTACAAAGGATACCAGACACGTATATTTGCTAGTAAAAGAGAAGTACACATACTAAAACACAGCAGAGACTTGATCATTTGCAGAGTCATGGAAAATCAATGGACTCCAGAAATTAGGATCGAACATTGATAGTCAACTAGATCAAGCACATCCACAAGGGTCATATAAAGACACAAGGAACTCAAATTAACATATAGTTTAAAGGTTTTTGTTCAATACAGATACAGAAGGCATGATCACTCAAAAACTCACGAACTTCAGACATGTTGGAGAAAATAAAATACAACAAAATGAGCTAGATATATACATATATTACTACCAAGTGATAAACATACAATCTTTTGTTTCTTTTCAAAGTGGAAAACACAGGCTTAGATTTTAGCTAATGTCAAGACAGAACCTGCCTATTCTTGGTCAAGTTCGTTTTCTCTGCTATTACCTGACCATTTAATGTGACAACGAATAGTTTGACAGCTAACATAAGCAGTATTCTGCGAGGAGAAACAGATTCAACATGTCGCAATTAATCCAACAGTTTTATATGAATTCCCAGTAAGCATCAACAACAATGATAACACAAACAGTTCAATAACATTCCACATTCAGCATGCTTAATTGGATGCTCAAAAAGAACAGATTTTATACAACTATATTCGAAAATTCATCATAACAATGTATTTCATAGAAAATTCATCACATTTTCATCTCAACATCGTAAAAGCAACACAAATTGAACAGATTTTATGAAATTAGATCCAACTGATAAACATAAAGAGTAAAATTTACCATTTCCAAAGGATAGTAGATAGTTAATTGGGGAATCCTCAAGCTACAACCAAAGAAAGTGAATTTGAGCAAGTAAACAAAATTAGCAAACTTTAAGCAGATATTAATCAAAATTCTCAAAACTACAGAAAAAACTTAAATCGAGACTTCAATTAACAACAACAGCTGATAGATTATATAGATGATTGATTAGCAATCCACATTACACAAGATGTGTACAGATAAAGGAAGCTAATAACTAAAAGGAAATATTTTTACACCTATCATCAAACCCTAATACAGTAAAATTAAACATTAACCTAAAACTCTTCAAATTCTTCAAGAGCTGGTGAATTTGGTAACAGCCTTTGTGCCTTCAGAGACAGCATGCTTAGCCAATTCACCAGGAAGGACCAATCGGACAGCTGTCTGAATTTCCCGAGAAGTGATAGTAGGCTTCTTATTGTAGCGGGCAAGTCGGGAAGCTTCTTGAGCAAGTTTCTCAAAGATATCGTTAATGAAACTGTTCATGATACCCATAGCTTTACTTGAAATACCGATATCAGGATGAACCTGCTTCAGAACTTTGAAGATATAGATCTTGTAAGTCTCGACCGACTTCTTCGCCCTCTTCTTCTTCTTGTCACCAGCGGCAGCATCCTTTGGGAGCTTCTTCCCAGCCTTTGGCTTCTTCTCCGCCGGAGCTTTCTCGGCGACGGGGGCTTTCTCAGCTGGCTTCTTCTCGGCGGGCTTTTTCTCTGATTTTGGTGCCATTTTTCTCTTGAATGAGGAAATTGTGAATGTGATTGATGTAGAAATTTGGGGGTTAGGGTTTGGTTTATATAATGAAATGGAAGTGAGTTCTGATTGGCTAATGTATGGTGATGCGGATCATGTTTTAGAACCGTTGATCTTAGTTTTTAATCAACGGCTGATAGTTGATATTGAAATTCGTGTACTTTTTCACTTAAGGCGGTAGCTGAAATTTTTAAAAACTCGCGGGATAAATGAAATTTAAATTTTAACATTTAGGGGTGGTAGGTTTAGAGATTATCCGGTTCACTCCCTCGGCTATTGTTTCTTGCTAAATAATACGTATAGAAAATCAATAATAGTAGTATAAGAATTACTATACTGTAAATAAGTAATTTTATACGAATATTATAAAAAAAAAAAAAAATGATCTAACTATGTATTACTTTCTTCATGTTAGTTTCTGTGATGTGTTTTACTTTTTGATTTATTTTTAAAAAATGACGTTTCATGGAGGAGAAAATGATCAAAATGGTCTTTCATATGTAAGGGTTGAATTATTTTGATCTTTTATATATATCATTTTATCTAAATGGTCCTTAATGTATATGAAAGAATGATCATTTTAGTCCTTAACCCTAAAACTAACTAAAAAAGCAAAAAATAATGTTAGATTTAACAGTGGATCCCGCGAAATTGACAGATGACAAACCCTTCTTCCTCCATCCGCTTTCGTTCACCATCACCACTGCAAACCTTTCTCCTCAACTTCCTTCTTTCGTCATTTGAGGTCATGCTTTATATCCTCATAAGAAAAATAATACACACTACACCCATTTCATTTCCATCGAAATAAATTTTCAGAAGCTTCCATTATCATGCATAAAGAAGAAGAAGAAAACCAAGATCATTAAAATAAATGTAAACTAAGTAAATCAGATAAAAGACTCCATTTATTATCTCTTGTTGAAGCGATCTATGGGGAGGATATAGCTTTCTTTTCGTTTTATCCTTTTGAAAATTAGTAATTTTTCCAAGTCATTTTTTTCATTCTATTTTTAAAATTAAATGGTAAAATTTTAACGAACAGATAGAAAACAAAAACCTTACGAATATTCTTTTGAAATTTGAAGAAATTTTTGTGTGTATGAGAGGATTTTGGGAGCAGAAATTGTAGAAGAAATGGCAAAAGAAAGAAGGTGAAGGAGAAGCAATGGCGGAAGAAAGGAAGAAGAAGGGGCCCACCAAGTGTGGGACCCAACAGTTAAGTTTAACAGTTTCTTTATGTTTTTAGTTAGTTTTTAGAGCTAGGACCAAATGATACTCTTTATACATACATTAAGAACTATTTGGATAAGATGATATATATAAATGACCAAAATAATTCAATCCCTATACATGAAAGATTATTTTGATCATTTTCTCTTTCATGGTGTATATAATTTGCGAATGACACAGTACTGATTGATGAAACACGGAGTTAATATTAGGTTGGAGGTTCGAAGACAAATTATAGTGTCCAAAGGATTCAAATTCAGCAAGGACTAAAATGGAATATTTAGAGGGAAAATTTAGGGTTGAGTTGTATGAAGCGAACGTGGAAGTAAGGCTAGCCACATAGATTATTTTCAAAAGAGAAAGTTATAGTTGTCTTGGGTACATATAACAGGGTACACATATCGCATTGGGATGACATGGATGAAATAGAGGTTTGCCACTAGAGTATTGTATGTAATGAAGGTACCATCTAAACTTAAAAATAAGTTCTACAGAGTGGCGGTTAGATCATCCTTGTCGTGTGGGGTGGAGTGTTGGTCAATCAAGAACTCACAAGTTTCAAGATACATGTTGCGGATATGAGGATGTTGAGATTGATGTGTGGGCATACCAAGAGTGACAAGATTAGGAATATAATGATGTTATCCGGGAGAAGGTGGAGTGACCTATGTGTCTGACAAGATGAGGGAAGCGAGACTAAGATGGTTTGGGCATGTGTAAATGAGGTATCTTGACGCCCTAGTAAAGAGGTGTGAGAGGCTGGTTGTAGGGGGTACGTGGAGGGATAAAGTTACACCGAAAAAAGTATTGAGAAAGGGTGATTAGATAGGACATGACACAACTTCATATTACTGAACACATAACTCTATATAGGAAGAAGTGGAGGTCAGGTATTAGCGTAGAAGTTTAGTAGGGGTAGAGTGTGTTCTCGCCATGCGAAGGTGTAGGCTTATTAGTGTTTATCGTAGTACTAGTCGTACATTTATAGTGTTAAGGTTCGCATACACTCTACTATCTCCAAACGCTATTTAATAAAATTTTACCGGGTATGTTATTATTGTTGTATTATATTATTGATTTCCACATGAAGATTACATTACTAAAACCAAATCTAATGCCTCCTTTTGACCGTTTAGTTATGTGTATGAAATGGTCAGTTTTAAATAATCCAGCATTTCATGCACATCAACATTTACTTTTATTTTAGTTATTATATGAGTTGATTGAGTTGTAGAGTTCAAAATTCGATTTGGGTTACATTCACCAAATTATAATACCAAATCTAATTCAATCCAAACAATTCCTACAAGATACTTTCTATGCACACACCAACACCATAGACGTACCAAAACTTTTGGATCACTTCAACACATAATAAAGTATTGGTATTAGACACATCCCGTTCAAATTATAGAAATTCTTTTGTACATGTTCACGAATATTCATTGGGTAGATAAGTTAACTGTTTTATATGTCAGAACTTATATCCATTATTTGTAGTTTTATACCATCAATAAATTGTAAAATTTGTTACAATAGGATAATGTGCATAAGAGAAAAGCGTCTCATTTTATTTGATTAACTTATTTACGTAAGGTATATTATAACATGTGCAAAAGTTTTTTCAAATAAAATCATCTTTATCATATATTTGAGATACCATGTAAATCATGTTGGAAACCATTACAAATGCAAAAACTTGAAAAATCTATGCCGATAACTAATCATTGTTTCTTCTTTACATCACAAAACCCTAATCGACCCCATAAACCCAACAGTTAAAAACAGCAAAAAAAAAACCTAAATTCAAGAGCTGGTGAATTTGGTAACAGCCTTAGTACCCTCAGATACAGCGTGCTTAGCCAATTCACCAGGAAGAACCAATCGAACAGCAGTTTGAATTTCCCGTGAAGTGATAGTAGGCTTCTTGTTATACCTAGCAAGTTTCGAAGATTCCTGAGCAAGCTTCTCGAAGATATCATTGATGAAGCTGTTCATGATCCCCATAGCTTTGCTCGAGATCCCGATATCGGGATGAACTTGTTTCAACACTTTGAAGATGTAGATCTTGTAGGTTTCGACCGATTTCTTAGATCTCTTCTTCTTCTTGTCACTGGCGGCGGCGGAACCGCCGTCTTTGGGTAGCTTCTTCCCGGCCTTTGATTTCTCGGCGACCGGAGATTTTTCGGCTGCTGGCTTCTTCTCTGCGGGTTTCTTCTCTGCCTTTGGTGCCATCTTTGAAGAGAAAATTAGCCAAGTTTGTACGAAATTGTGTGAAGAGAAGGGGATGTAGCGATTTTCTTATATAAGATCCTGGGGCTTGTTCTCATTGGTTGATTTCGAATGACACGGATCGTGAATTTTAGCCGTTCGATGGTATGATCGATCAACGGCGGAAAATGAAGGACGAGTGGATTAGGCATAATACAAATCAATTGTCACTTGTGCACACATAATACGTGTGTACGTAATTAATCAATTTTATACAAATTTAATTGTCTGCTTATAAATATCTAAAATTTGAAAATATAAACGCATACAATTTATATAAGATACTTTTTTTCCTTTTTGGGGTGTATGGACTTCGTAAATTTTCACTCTAATATGGCTAATATGAGTCTGATAAGGTGGTTAAGGTGTCACAAAATATTCACTCTAATATGGCTAAGGTTCCATATATAAGAACAAATAGAAAAGCTAAAAAGATTTATTCAATTAAGTTGAGGAATCGTATATCAATTATGACTTGATTAAATATCGAATTGTAACAAATTAGTGTTGTGATGATTATCCCTTTGAAGTCAAATTTTGCAACAAATATTTTTTGGAATATTAATATTCTCATGGCGCCTTAACTACATTATTAGATTCATATTAGCCATACTATAGAGTAGAAATCTAGGACATTTATCATCGGATATTTATGATCGTTCTATACATGTATTTTAAAAAATAATCTCAAGTCTCTTCATATTCTTAGTTTCTTCTATCATGTATCTACAAATTATATCTTCACCAATCATGTAACAAATACCTATCACTTTAGCTTAACATTATGCTTGCTTGTATGTTTGATTGTATAATTATTAAGCTTTGATGGACAGAGGCGGATTTAGGATTTTGAGGTTTTAGGTGTCACATTGTTCAAGTAAGATAAGCGGGTCAGTTGCTTTAATTTTGGGTTACAATGATCAAGTTATTTATCTTTTTTCGATTTTTATAAACAAATCGATTAAACATGCATGTTAGTAATATTTTCTTTTAGATATTATGAGATTAGAGATAGCTAAGCAATTCAATTTTTATTTCTTTTTAGGAATTACTAACCTTATTCGCTGAAACTTTGAGGAAAAAGGAGATTTTTCACACTAAAATTTGAGCTTGTATAAACTATCTAATAGTGTTAACTTAATATATTCATATTTCATTGACTTTACGTGTTGTTGCAAATATATAACAAAGAGAATAAAAATTTTAGTTTCAACCTAGTCATCTTACTTAGCAAGAACGTCGGTAAAGATCGAAAGAACCTTTAAATTAAAAGAACTCTAATAATAATATTCATCAGTTTTAAAACTTATATTTTTTTTAAAACTACTATTTAAATATATTCTTAATAATATTTATGTCGCGTTCATAATTCAGTACTCATTAATTGATAAAGAATAAACACACAACACTCATATCAAGAGATTAATAATTGGTGAAAGAGAAACGTTAAAAAAAACTTAAGAATTAATTGTGGTGAATAGGAGTCATTTTGAATTAATAAAGAATATTACTCTCTATGTCCCTAATTACTTGTCCACATTTCTTTTTTTAGTTGTCCCTAATTGTACTTATCAGGCATAGTTTCTTTTCAAGAAAGAGGCAGATGATATGAGCTTGACACCGCAGTTAGGCGTGGTTCCACAGACTGTATACGTGGTAGGGCCCGCTTCAGAAAGTAGGTTTCCAAGCCCGCAGATTCAAGAGTTAAGTTAGAGACTGACTAGTTAAACAAGAAACTCAAATGAAAGAAGGTTGTCCATTTTGACAAATCAAGAAAGAACCGTTTTTTTCACCTATTATACTCCCAATTAATTATTTTGAAAATATGTAGAACTTCTTAAAAATCTTAAGTTTTTTAATTCATCCACTTCATAATTAATAGGGGTAAAATGGTAAACTCACTATGCCAATTTTTATTTTCTTAATAGTTGTGTCAATTTAAAAGTGGACAAGTAATTAGGGACTGAGGGAGTAGTAAATAAATAAGAATGAATGGAAGAAAAAAAAAGGCTTCACACATTAATGAAAAAGACAAAAAAAAAAAGGACAGAAAGAAAAAAAGAAAAAGCTTCAAAAAATTAATGATGTCCACGTGATTTGAACCCGCGCTACCCATGTGGCAAATTGCCTGCTTTGCCAATTGAACTGTTCACCATTTTGTTTATTTGGTGGCAAAAAATATACATATCAATTTCTTATATATATAGTTTTTTTTTCGAGATTACTGGGTGTCGTGGCACCCCCACGGTACCCGTAGATCCGCCCCTGTGACGAAAGTTGCGTTAAAGAAAGCTACGGTGGAGGAGGGCTAATCAGAGACAACAAGATGGCTGCTTGCTATTTGGGTATAGGTTAGGGCACTAGCAATATGACTGAAACCCTAACACTATTATATGGTGTGTTAGTAGAAGTTATGATAGGATTTGGGGAGAAATTGATTCCTTGCTCTTGACTAAAATGCATAAACGGAGAATGAAAAAGCCTTGGAGATTGGATATATAAGTTGATTCAAGAAGCACAACAAATAATTGAAACTCATGAATCTATCATCAGTCATTGCTTCAGGGAAGCCAACAAACTTGCCGATAAATTAGCATCCATGAGTTATAATATTGATGCAATAAATGATTTCAATTCTTTCTCCGTTCTCCCGAGAGAAGTTTGGGAATTAATTAACATAAATAGATGTGAGCTCCGTTCCTTCAGAATGCAACAGGTCAAATCTTTTAATTTTATTTATGATCGTCCTATTCCTCTCTGTCAAGAGTCAAGTTAGTAGAGTAATAGCTAACTTTATCTCTATCCCCAAAATCTTATTTTAAGTTTGCTACGTCAAACTCCAAGATGTAATTCTTTTATACCAGTGATTATTTGAGACATTTTAAAAAAGAGAGTATATTTATTAGGTTGTGCAATTGTTAAGGGACATCAGGATAATTGATACGAAATCATAATCTGAAATTAAATTAATTCAAAGTTAAAATTTTATTTAAACATTCAAAAAAACATAAGTTGAGACTAATCACATTGATTGAAAATTTGCCAATGATAGAAATATTATGGCAATTTGGACTTATTAAAATTTAGAATATGACTTTTCCTAATGCTAGTTGAAAATCATACCACTTGTGTTAAAACAAGAGAGTTTATATCAGTGAAATAATCTATATATAATATAAAGTTGGATGTGAAAACGGTGATGCGGCACCTCTTAGAAGCCATGATTCTTATTTATCTATTTTTCCAATTTTTTGAATATTTTTCCTCACACGAAATACAATACTTTAAGAAGAATTGAAAAACTGAAAGCATTAACCATATACATTAAGTCATTAAGATCTATATGCATTCAATTACTAAATGGAAGATAAAAGGCTAAAAAATTGAAAGTATTAACAATATACGTTAAGATCTATACACATTCAATTACTAAATGGAAGATGAAAAGGCAAAACTGTTTATATACAATCTCAAAGTCCTTCCAAAATCACTTGTTTCATGGGCTTAATTATCAGTGCCTATAACTACTTGAATGAGCTTTTCCTCATTTCTTGGTGATTTCAATTAGTAGTTTCTCCAATAAGTAGATACATACTACGATTTTTTTTTCATTTTGGTAGAGAAATTTATATGAAAGTGTCAAAAGGCAAGAAGAATTATTTGTAGAAAATATCAATCTATTTGTAGAACTTATATCAAATTAGGAGGAGATTAAGGAGATAATATTTCATATTGAATGGAAGAATTTAAGGGAGCAGAATAGAAAAGAAAATGAAAGAAACAAGGAAAAACAAAGTTTGATAGAATAGCAAATCTGGCGTTTATGGAATCGAAATTAGTCACGACGTTATTAACTTCTTTCAATTTCTTTGTTCTGCTAATTTCTTTAGTCTTTTATTTTTCTGTTTTATTTTCCTTCTGTATTTTCAATTAAAGTTAATGTTCTGAATTATAAGATATGATGATAAAATTATGCAAAAAGGAGTAATGTATCAGATATATATAATTGTAATCAATATTTCTAGGTGAAAAAAATAAAAGAAAAAGGTTTAAAATTTAGGTGAAAGATGTTACATTATTTATGGCATTTATTTATTTTTTCAATTTAAAAAAAAATATTTTTCTAATTATTTTAATTTATATATAAAAATTGTAAAATTATTTATCTCTTTTTCAGTTTAGTCCGAAAATTATTGTCATTAATTTAGTGATTTAATGATAATTTATTATGCATTAAATAATATTATTGAACAATTTCTATCAATATATAAAGTAAGCATAAATTAGGCGACGTGACAATTCTCTTTTTTTTTTTCCTTTCTTTTTGCTTATTTTTTTGATCCATTCTTTGATTTATTGTTTGCAATTTAAAGAGGCAACGAAAAATCTCTCTCTCTATATATATAAAGTTAGATAAAAAAAAGTGGTGTGACACCTCTCAATGGCCAATAATTATATTTATCTTTTTTGTGGTTTTTTTGATATTTTTTGATATTTTTTTATTTTATAAAATCATCTCTTTAATTCATACCTCTTCAATTACATAATTAATTTAGTAACATCTATAACTTCTAACCTTTCATATTCATAACTTTCAAATTATTTAACATAGAATTTTATAACTCCTTAAAATCACACTTATAAAAACCTATTTTGAGACATATATGATGATTGTTTTATTTTCATTTTTTTTATCCTTCATCTTTTGTCTCATTGGTTGATTAATTTTTTCTCTTCTTTGATTTTATTTTGCAGGAGATATATCTATAATGAAGAATATTAGACATTTTTACATAGTTTGCTTTTACGAGGTAAAATGATTCGATATGCATAGTACAATTATCACTTTTTCTATTGTAATTATATATTTAATTATTTTTTTGGATTCTTGATTATATGAATCATGAGTTTTCTTTTAGAAAAAAATAGTTGATTTTTTCTCTTTGCTTCTCTTTGTAGGTTCCTTCTTTCTTCTTTAACTCATAACTAAATATTCTTTAAGGTTTTTACTTGATTAGTTAATTTTATTTTTATGTTTTTTTTGTTGTTTAAGGTTAACTTACCGTGTTTTTAGATCTGGATATCTTTAAAAATAAAAGCAGAAAGAGGAGTTAATATATACATGTATGCTACTCAGGAAAGCATGTAGATGTAATTTTATAGTTATGTGGATTAACTTTTTATTAATTATAATGATAGAACATGAGAATGCGAAGTTAATTAATTTTTAAAATATAGTATAATTCAGAGAAAAATTGACTATTAATACGTAACTTTATGATCTTCTTATTTTAATTTATTATTATTATTAAAAGTTCTTAAGTTTTTGATTCCCTCTTTTTTAAAAAAAAAAAAAATTAAATAGTAATTCTATTGAATATTTAACATTTGTTGTTTGAAAGATTAATAATAATTAGGAGTATATAAGTTTTCGTATAATGCTTAAGTGAGTCTTCACTATTGGAAATTTCTATTGATTATAGTGCTTTAAGATAGTGTGTTATTGCAAAATTTATTAAAATTTACTTTTGTAAATGATAATTATAATTATTTATTTTTAAAAATGTGTTTCATGAGTTGCAAAAAAAAAAACTAATCTAGTTGCATTCTCTACTTAAATAGCATGTCTCCTCAACTTCCTTCTATTTAATTTTTCATGATTAATCAATCTATAAATAGCAATTCTCCATGGAGTTGTTTAAAAAATAATCTTATTATTTAAAAGAATTAAATGGAGAGCACAACCAAGAAAGGAAAAAAGTTGTACAATACACTAATTTTTCAAAAGAGAAAAATACCAACAATATTACAGAATCATGTAACATTATACGTTAATGAACTTACATATATGAATTACTTTTTATACAATTACAACATCCTAAACTAATCCTTTACACCTTTTCATTTACTATATTTGCATAATAAATTAATAACATGTCTTTCATAATAAATAAATAAATAACAATACAAATTCCCAACTTTCCTCCAATTATTTATCAAAATCTTGACACTTATCTTTACACAAACATTTAACAAATTCAAAAAATTAATTCATTATTTAAACAATTAAATGAAAAGCACAACCAACAAATGAAAAAAATGGTATAAATACCACAAACAAAATTAAAAACATCAAGACACACCATTTATCTCCATAGTCACCATATGCTCATAGTGGTTAATTGAGGTTAGTTTTTCAAATGTTCAATATTATTATATTTTATTACAACACTTTATCCTTAGTTTGACTTTGACAAATACTTATACAGAAGTACTACAATTGATAAGAAAATTATGGATCATCCCCAACAACTTAGTTCGAAGAATTGTCAAGGTAAATTATTAATGTTAATATTCATAACTATATTAAGTTGTATGTCTATACAATTAACAAAACATTTATTTTTGCATACAAATGCAATCGAAAAATCAAGTAAAGCTATTAAAGTGATGAAAATATTATGCAATAGCGAATTGCATATTTCAAAAAGGAACAAGAGCAATTGAAAAAATATATACACAAAGAAATTTCACTAGATCAATCTTACAAAAAATGACATGACGTTTTTCATGTATTGATTTCAATGCAATAGGGAGATGAAATAATTTTTTATTAGAGAATATATTCTCTAAAAATCAATCTAATAACAAATGATAGGACGTTGTTGATGTATTTCTTTATATATTTTACTGTTATTTTACATTGAAAGCCATTTCAATAACATTCACAAAAGTATCCATAATAGATATTACAATATAAAAGTTCAATCTCCTTGGTATCTTAATAAAAAGCAAGGAGGACCATCAAAACATACTAACAATTCCCCCATTCAGTGCAATGGAAATAAAATAATTTTTAATAGAGTTTGTATCATTTCAAATGAAGAGATAATGATAAAGTTGAATAATATAGTGATATAATTAATCCACAAGAAAAGTTATTCTAACACATATTTTTAACCCTCGCGCGAAGCACGTTCATGCTCTCTAGTTTGTTATATAGTCAAATATTTCTATAATGGCTCTCATTACAATATTTCACTATAATGGTTTGATTTTCTTGAGAATTGATTTTTTCATTATAATAACTTTTTTTTATATGTAATAACAATCAAATTCACTATAATAGTACACTCTTTGAAAAATTATCCCCTACAATAGTCATATTCAAATATTATGTAATAAATATATTATGTAGAAGATGAATACAAAAAATGAAGAACCTCAGCTTGTTACTTGTGGCCGTGAGATAAAAGAGTCAATTGTTAAACTATAAAACAACCTTCGAAGAAAAACTATTGAATACCCTTTTGCTGAAAATTTGGACAAAAATCATGGTGAGTTTGAGCAATATATCATTACAAAAGAGACTATAATTTACAAAGCAACCTACAATTATAAAATTCTTACGTTAAACTTAATATATATGAATTTTAATTAATTTTAAATGCATACGTTCCTTAGATTTTAATTATTTATCGATACAATATAATTAATTATGAATTTATTAGTCTTTTTGATTTTTAATCAATGAAATATGAAAATCAATTGAAATTTTAAATTTATCGAGTATTTTATCTTCATTTATAGCATGAAAGTACAAAATAATAATTTTGCACATTTTGTTTATAATAACTAAATGAGATAAAAACATCGAATGCCAATAACGCTTCACTAAGCAACTATAAAACTTTCATATTAACATCACCATTATAATTTTTATTTTACTGTAATAGGTTAATTACAGATTATTCTAGTTTATCAATGATATATACTATATATGGAATAGAACCTACATCAACAAACAATTTGCCAAATACTAGATTGCCATATTAAATTTAAATATAGTCTCATTTGTTTGGTAAAAAATTGTACTTTATAAATATTTTGCCTAAACTAGTTTAGTAGTGCCTAACTATGCCGAAAATTGTACATAATTTATTTTTTCAACTCTTAGCGCTAAGTACTATCCTAGTTCTACTTCAAACGTTGAGGTGGAGTGATAAGTACTTCATATATATATATATATATATATTTTTAAAGAGAGGTATTAGGTTCGAGTTATGTGAATGCAAGTATTTTTGATAAAAACAACATTTTGTTCTTTTAAATGAGATTTTTTCACGTAAATTTGAATCAATTAAAATTTAAACCTCAAAATAGATATCAAATTCGTGAAAACAAAAAACGTTTTATTCTTTAAGTGAGATTTTTTCATGTAAATTTGGATCAATTAAACCTCAAAACATATATCAAATTTGTGAAGAACAAGCAAAGTTTTTCCTAAATTAATTATCACCTTAAAATCAAATAATAATCGGAATTAATTTGTTAATGTTTCGAATTTTCAATAACAAAGACAAGGAGTAATCCTAAACCAATGATCATCCATTTTATCTCTTTAACTACTTTATTTCCTTTGTAGAAACTAAAAATCAAACACAAAAGAATATTAGTTTAATTTATTTAAACTAATTGTGTAATTATATTTACATACAATATTAATACATATTACTCTATTTTTCATACTATCCATATTGAGAACGAAACATTACATGTTATCTCAAGAATTTGAATTTTATGATATTTTACGAACATTTTAAATTAATCTATAATGATAGTTGAATTCATAATTAAATATTTATAAATTTTAAATTAATCAGTAAATTTCAAATATTAGATACTATAAAAAGTTAAATTTTTCATATTAAGAAAAAAAAAAAAGTAAAACGCAATCCGATATATTAAAATTCTCATTATGCACGAGAGGTTCAAAGAAGAATCAAACTACAAAAAATATTATAGTGCTAGATCCAAAAAGGGTTTAGACGTTCTTAATAAATAAAAATAAAGGTAAAATTTATAATTTAGAAATATTAACTCAATCAATCAACTAAACCAAATACGCTCTTATTTTGTATTTCTACGAAAATTCGATCGTATGACAATAACTTTATTAATTACGAGAGTTGAAAACAGAATAGAGCTCTTTTGTATTTCTACAAAAAAAAATATGATCACCTGACAATAACTTTACCGGTTCCGAGACTTAAAAGCGGTTCTTCAACCCATTCCCCCTTCACTTCTTCTTATTGCACATGCCAACTTCCACACTCTTTCCATTTCCTCCTCCTTTTCTTCTTTCTGAGAAAAAAAAATCTTCATCTCCTTCACAAATCTCATCTGGTTCTCATTCTCTCTCTGCAAATGCAATTGCTTTGACTCGGTTTCGATTTCTCTCTCTACACATCTCTATTCGCTCTGCAAAAACATTGATTAATACGCACCGGAAATGGCAATGGAAGGAGGAGCTGAATCGAACTACAATTCATCTACTGAAAGTCAGCTTGAGCAATCTTCTCCTCGCAAATCTCCGCCTCCTCCTCCTTCTCAAGGTTTTATTTACATCTCTCTAATTGATTAATTTTCAGAATTTTCCATGTATTGTTGTAGTGTGAAGATAATTAGCTCAGGATCTGATATCTGTTGCAGTTTTTTTTTAAAATATATTTTTGTCTGAGTTTTCTGATAATGCGGTTTTAGAAATGTTTGATCCGTTTACTATTTCGAAATTCGAACAATGTGAAAATTTTAATGTGAGCAGGTTTTGAGCTGATATCTCTATAGGTATTGTATTGTCGTTTTAAACCCTAAGGATAGTGGACATATGGTGATTTTGCGGACTCTGTGTGGGTTAATAATAAGGTGTTTGGTTTAATGATGGCAAATGCGTTTGTGTAAATGCATGTGAAATTGGTAATGGAAGAAATTTGCTGTTTGTGAGGTGAATTATTCGAGTTGAAACTTCAGTATTGCCTATTGTGGAGTAAATCTGAGATCACAAACAGATGTTGTTGCTTGCTATCATTGATTCATTTCTGATTTTCTCTGTGTGTGCTTGTTGATGCCTCGAAATGATATATACTTAACTTAGTTGTGGTAGTTACCGTGTAGGCATTTTTAGGTGCCTATGGATTTAGAAGTTTCTATTGGATACAGTCCTTGATCTTATCCATAGCCTCATTGCCCTCATGTAAATTCTCTCTAAGGACATTAGACACACTCACACACACAAAACACATAATGCTTCAACATTCACAATAGTATTGTAACATTCTTTCTGTAGTAACGTTATCCTAGTCACTACTCATTTTATTTCACAGAGCTTCATTCATTCATTCATTCATTGAAGCCTTTGTACTTTGAAAGTTGAGCTGCTGTTCTTTTGATGATCTTACCTAATTGCGAAATTCAAACACTTTGATGCTGTCTCGCAGTCACATGACATTATGGGTTGAGGGGAAGTTTTCTCCTCTAGACATTCTTATAGAGAAGGTGCTTAATCACTCAATGGCGTGTTTCACATCTAATTTTGTACCAGAGTCACCCGAGCCTTATTATTCAACCATTTTTTTATATGACAAGGGAAACCCGCAGCCGCTACCCTTTTGGTGCGCGCACAAGGTAGAACCCCCGCTCCTATGCAATAGCTCGCATACCACATTAGGAGAGGTAACCCGCACTAGGCAAGCCCGGTGCGACAAGCTCGACCCAGAAGGCAAACCCCTTGCTTTCGCTGGCAAGGGGTTTCGAACTTGAGACCTCCAACATGAAAGTCCCAAGCACCATTGTCAACTATTTACCTGCATAAAAGGATAAACGCTTCCTTTACGTGTGAAAAATGTGCTTTGGTGAAAAATCTTTGCTCTCCTGGTTTTTTAAGACGAATGTTGAATATCAATAGGGACCAAGAAAGCCCCTGTACAGAAGGTTCAAAAATTTGATCTATATCAGTTTATGAGTTTTCTACTCCTTGTTAGCCTCTCTAAAACATTATATGGAAGTCTGGAGCAAATTTTTTTCTATGTGGGAGTATTTCACCCTGAAAGCAGCACCAATTCTCGTAACATCTGAGGGACCATCAGAAATTGAATGGGTGCAAATCTTTCTTCGGTATTTCCATTCTTATCCATATGGAGCAAAAGGAAATGTCTTTATCAAACTGCAGCTTTACCAATTAAATGACTTTGTCAAATGCTGTTTTTTTCTTATTCTATAACTTTGTAGATCACAAATGTGCATATACACTATGTTGATGCTACTGGTTGACTTAATCACTGGAATCTTTAGGTTTTTGTACTCTGCATTGAGAATATATCTCTTATGCTGCATTTGACAGTTGAGAAATGACAGTCCAAATTTTCTTCTCATTATTTGAGGGTTAGCCAGCAAAGCTACTCAGTATGATAAGATGGGCAATTATGGATAGAATAAATATTTGTATTCTTTATTTTGTTCAAGAAGTTTGTTCATTTTGTTTTGCAATTATTGTTGAAAATCATTAACTCAGAATATCACCTTTTAAGGCGTTTTTGCTGAGGTGCTCAGCATAAGTCTTATGTTGCTCCTTTTTATGTTTGTCTTATTCCCAGACCATGAGGAGAAGGCAACTTATGTCAAATTCCTTCTGTCAAATGCTGAAGCTGGTTCAATTATTGGAAAAGGTGGTTCAACTATCACTGAGTTTCAGTCTCGTTCTGGGGCTAGAATTCAGTTGTCGCGCAACTATGAAGTTTTCCCTGGAACACCAGATAGAATTGTAATGGTATCCGGATTTCTTGATGACATACTCAAGGCAGTCGATCTTATTCTTGGTAAATTGATGGATGAGGTAATCTCATGTCCAAATCCTGTTTCGTATACTTCTCTTGATATTTAAATTGAAGCGCTATCTTCTTCCAAATCAGTTTTATGCTGAAGATGGTGGCGAAGTGGATCCACGCTCAAAATTTAGATTAGTTGTGCCCAACAGCTCTTGTGGTGGAATAATTGGGAAAGGAGGAGCCACAATAAAGTATGAATTCTACTCACTATATGTTTCTTTTCCTACATTACCTTTGCAAGTTCCACTCATTCTAACATATCAGACAATCAACCAAGCAAATGACCTGCAATCTGAGTATTGTAACATTGACTTGCTTATCTTGCAGAATGAATCTGAATATTCTTTCTGCTCTTGGTTATAAAGTTATGGAAGATGTATGTTGAAATGGTATATCCTTGTGCTGGAATGATTCACTTGACTTCATTATTACAAGTTAAATGCTCATGATTTTTCTCTTGAGTTTTTGGCCTGTAAAATGATCAATTGTGCTGTTCATGCAATCTCCGGATACCAGTTTGTAACCCCTTTCAACTGAAATATATGTATGCCATCAGAAACTTTTGTTCAATGGTTCTTGTTGATTTGACTAAGTTCCTTGTCCAACCTGAATGTTTAGCTTATTTTCTTTATAACTGGTGCACAGCTCTCTAGGTTAACGTCTTTATTACCTCTTCCATGACCAATGTTGTCCTCAATGTGTAACACAGGAAAGTGATGTTATAAAGTTGTCTGCCAATATTTTACCATGTTCCATTTCTATTAATTTCATCGTCCTAAGCGATTAATGAAGTTGAGGATTTTAGGGTGCTGACCGGAGTTCAGACCATGCCTAGGCTCTGAATGCTATGTTATAGTTGATTCTCTTCTTATATTAAGCTAAAGGTGGGGGTTTTCATTCTATATACACTTAGGGGTTGTTAGGTAGGAGGTATTAGAGAAAATAATACATATATTAGCTTTGTCATTAATTAATCTCTTTGGTAGTGTTCTCAAACAATGTATAACTAATACGCACCCTATTCAGTACTATTTTTATACATAGTAAACCATCACATTAACAATACGGTGTTCCTATTAGAAAACATCCTATTTAGTACTATTCCTATTATAATATACCCTATTCATTTAATACAACAAATCAAACCGTCAATAAAAAATAATACTAACATGATTAATCTCAACATAACTTTTTTTTTGGGTACTAATACACCCTATTCAGTATAAACTAATCTCATGATTACTAATCCAAGCATTACTAACGCACCTTATTTAATATTATTCTTATACACCTACCAGATGACCCCGTGGTGTTGACTGTTGAGGATGCTCTTGTTGAGTACTACAAATTCAATTTTTTGTAGCAAAAATTCAGTTTGACTGAAATAATTGTTTTTTTGTCTGAATTAAACTGAAACAATTGTTTTGTATGAGAATTAAAGAAATGCTTTATAGTCAAAACTTTTCTACTCTTCCACATGGTTATTTGGTTGACAATAATGACTTTGGCTTATCAAGATTGCAACTGAATTTACATCTTTATGTTCGGCAAATACTCTGTTCTCCTGTTATCCATTAATCGTTGAAATGAAATGTTGAACAATTATACTTTGATATTCTTCTTGTGGAAGCAACTCCTATGTATCAGTAATAACTAATAATCCGACACAATTTGGTTGGGTTGAAACTTAACAAACAAAAGAGACGATTTTTATGATTTTTTTCAAGGGTAAATTCCTACTTTCAAACTCATTGATTCCGTTGGCAGTATTGTAGTCATAATCAATGTGTGCTGTTTCAGCAGCATATTATCTGGTTTGCAAAGGCTATGTATTATTTGGTTCCTTTTCTTCTTCCTTTGGCAGGAAAGAACTCTAAATGTGAAAGAACAATTCATTGTCATTCCCAAAAATTTATTAGTGAGTAGAAAGCCAAAAAAATTGTTCTCATGTATACTGTGATACAAACAGGCACTGACCTCATCATAAGATTCTTTTTTTTAGACGAAGTACTCTACATTCATTTCTTATCCTTTTTGTTTTCCAAATTTTTTTGCCTTCCTCCATTTCCTTTTTTCTACGTTTTTCTTCCTCTTGTTCTTCGTAGCTAGTGCATCTTTTTGGGACTTTTGGGTAAGATCAAGTGTTCTTCCTAGCCAGTGAAATACAAAGAGTGGTGACATGATGGATCTTATTTTCTATTTCATCTTTTAGAATTCTTCCTTTTGCAATTTTCTCGTCTTTGTCATTTATTGAATGAAGTCGTGAAGGAGGTTATTTTGATCCATAGTGGTGGTGGTTTTTTATGGAAAAAAGGCTTAGAACCAAAGTCTGCTGTCATTTTAAGTGTGATACTCACTTGCTATTTGTTTGGAAGGAAGAGTTAATTTTCACTTTATTCCATAACCATAAGGAGGTTTATATCTGTAATTACATATGTCAGGAGTATATATAATTTTCCACTGAGTTTGGCCTTGGTGATTTCTCGGTTATAGAAAAAAGAATAAATATTTGGTGGTATTGTGAGTCAATAAATTTAGTATGGGCATCTATTTGTGGATTGTACTCCCAAATTAATTATAGAAGGGAATTTGAAAAATAATTTTCATGCAGAATGAGATGGTTGGATATATATATTATTTTAATTTTATGGTTGAAGAAATATAGTATTGACTATGGGAAATTTTCTTGTTCAGGTCATTTATTGAAGATTCTCGGGCTGGCATAAAAATATCTCCTCAGGATTACAACTTCCCTGGACTGCATGATAGGATAGTTACAGTGACTGGTACTCTAGAAGAGCAGATGCGGGCAATTGAATTGATTTTATTCAAGTTAGCAGAAGACCCTCATTACATGCAGTCCATGAATGCACCATTCCAGTATGCAGGTATGATTCAAATATACTAATTTGTAGTACCTGCTTTGACTGAATTAGCTCAGGATGGATAAGACCTGCTCCTGTGTCTTGATTTTTGTCTGTGCTTGTGCAAATGCTGAGTATTACTTCCTAGAGATCTCAGTCTAAAATATACAAATTAGAGAATTGATGTATGAAGAGGACAACAGTATCTGTTTCTTGACCGCACTGCTTTCTAAATATTGATAATCCAGTCTCTCTTGTAATGTCGTATGCAGCTACCAAGACTCCCAGAGTACATTTTAGGAATTGTTGTAGTGGTTGACATAGTGGAGCATTGTATAGACTGATTGGATGTGATATAATTTTTAATTGGAAAGCCCTGCTATTGCTTTCAGAATATTTGGTTTAAGCAGTTACTCGAATGAAGTATATTCCGAGTCATACTCTCATCTGATTTGAATTTTATTCTGCCATCTCTAATTTTCTCAGCTGTATATGTCGGAATGAACTATGGATATGGACCACCAAACAGAGTTGGAGGAAGATATCCGAATAACCGACAGCAGAACAAGGTTCATTCTTACTTCCTGCTTGGCTTGAAGCTTTTGACTATACAGTATTATCCTGTTTCTAGATGCGGTTCTGCTTTATCTTTTTTGATTTTGCTTCTGTCATGATCCTATTCTTCTTTACTCAGGTGGCACCACCGGAAGTCGGGGACAATTCCATGACTATTGGTGTTGCGGATGAGCATGTTGGACTAGTCCTTGGCCGTAATGGGAGGAGCATAATAGAGATCAGTCAGGTGTGTGAAGAAGTTACAATTCTCCCTGGTTTTATATGTACTAAGTCTTTGCTTTCGTTGCAGCTTAGTGGTGCCAGAATAAAGATATCAGATAGGGGTGATTTCTTGTCCGGTACTTCCGACAGGTATACCATCCTGGCATTGTTGTTTCACTTGTCAGGTTGAACTACAAAAACACAGAGATTGCATTTATAAAGCCTTTGCGGCGTTTTGCAGGAAGGTAACTATAACTGGATCACAAAGAGCAATCCGCACAGCAGAGTCCATGATATCTCAGAAAATAGCTACTGTTTCTGTGAGGTGATCCGAACTTGTATTTCTAACTATTCTTTTTTGACGTTTTCTTAATAGATACCGAATTTCATATACATGTGGTGATATTGGATCTGTGTTGACATTTCTAGAGAATGAATTTGTGAAATGCTGATATCCATGGCTGGAGAACACATTCCATCTGTGAAGGGGGCAGCATAAATTAAGTACATTTAAGGAATATTTGGAAGCAAAGCTATAGTTTTCGCAATTGATTAAGTTGACTGAATATATACCGTTCTATACAGTCGTAATTATCAATAGCTAGTACTCAGTTCACAATTTTTGAAGTTCTCTTATGGTCTGTTACATACAAAATATTTATTCCTTCCTTACTGAAAGAGCTTATACAGTACGATGAGATGATTCATCTTAGTCTTATTATGTCTGGTATGTCCTTGGCCAAGCTCGGGATTGACAAATCTATAGTGACGGATCTAACTTCTTCTGGGCGAGCTGCGGACTCATACTTGTAGTAGAGGTTGGGAAATCTCTACTACTTGGTAAGTTACTAATATAGCATATATTAAAATTTGATTACATACACAAACAAAGCAAAGTTTACCACCACATGAATAAAGGTGGTTAAACCATGCAATTTATTCCATATAATAAATAATGCAAATACCAAATATATCAAATTTATGTATACATGAACTTCATTTCAATAGTTCAAGGTTCATCACCTCCATTTCCTCCACCATATCCTGATCCATAACCTGAGCCACTACCATACCCTGAACCATTGCCATTTCCTCCACCGCCGCCTCCACCACCACCGCCACCGCCTCCGCCACCTCCTCCTGATCTTCCAGCACCTCTTCCATACCCGGAGCCACTTCCACTTCCATAACCCGAACCATATCCTGAACCATTATTTCCATTGCCACCACCTCCTCCTCCACCACGACCACCACCCCCTCCGCCACCTCCACCATTACCTACTCCTTCACCTGACCCGTACCCTGATCCATATCCAGAACCACTACCCCTCCCCGAATTTCCTCCTCCACCACCACCTCCACTACCACCTCCTCCACCACCTCCTCCGCCACGTCCAAGCACTCCATCACCCTCACCATATCCCGAACCTGACCCACCTAACCCTCCACCACCGCCACCACCACCACCTCTTCCTCCACCTCCTCCACCACCACCGTTTACCGTCTTTCCTAATCTTGCACAAAAGGCAAGATCAACAAAGAGTAAAATCAACAATGCAGCTGCTATAAGCTTAGAATGAGCCATATGATAATTGTATATTACTTCTCTAGTATTATCTTTATGCAATTTTTTGTATATGAAATACGTTACGTAGTACTTAGGTTTAGGAGAAAATGAAATGAAATGCTAATTATGGTAGTGAGGAATGTGGTTATTTAGGAGTATCCTATTTATAAAATTTGCATGGCTTTCCAGTAGCTTCTGAAGTAATCCATCTGTCCATCTTTACTCAGTTATACTTTATTCGTCCGGTTTAAAAAATTAAGAGATAATTTATTATTTTGCGTCTATTTTACGTTTAATATTAACTATAAGTTATAACTATTATCCAAAGCAATGAACTTATTATATTCAAAATGGCAATTTAGTATAATTATCCTTTTATTTATTACTTCGTAAGGGATGTGTCATGATCAAGTAAAAATATACGGGAGGAGTAATATTATAATGGAAGACTGAAAAAATATGAACGTGTTGACTTGGGATATTATAGTGGTGTTGGTGATGATAGTAATATTATCAAGATCAACTTATCATGCAAAATCATCCCATTATCACAAAAGTACAGTTTGCTCCCACTTTTGACTTGGAGGGTTTTAAAATGAGTTTAAATTTTATATAAAATATGAGATTTATAATCTTAGAAAATATATTAGACAAATTACATACCATGATAGGTACATAGGTGATCTGATCAAGTAATTAAAAAAAGTTCTTGCATTAAATATGTATATAACTGAAACTCTAACATATATAATTATTAGTAAATTTTAATGATAATTAAGCATTTACTTAAAATATACTTGCAAAGATAAGTAGTGACTAATAACATGCTATCACAGGTTAAAATTTATGAATAGTATAAAAAGTTACTGCTTCTTCTGTCTCAATTTATGTAGCACTTAGTCCGTTCAAAAAAGAATGTCACATTTCTATAATTAAAAATAACAAAACTTTAAAATCTTATTTTTACCTCAAATGAAATGATTTACAACCACATAATGATATAAATGACCAATACGAGTTTTAGTCTATAAATTTCAAAAACTTTCTTTTCAACTTCGTGTCCAAGTAAATAATGTCACATAGACAATATGAGTATTAGGTGTATTAGCTTAAATAATCTTATTAGGAAATAAAAGCCAACAAAGGATAGTGGGGCAAGCTAATCAAATTGAGACAAAATATTCCTAATGTCATTCTGTTCTCATTTGACTACAAATTTTAGTGACTCCCATATGCATTAGATCAAGCAATAATCTTTATCTAATCTAATAAACGTGTCATTTTATCATATGATAGTTAATGCATTGCTTTTATATTAAATTAGGTGTTTAATCAAACGTAAACATCTTACAATTAAGGTTCTCTTATGTAGTGATCGGTATGTAAAAGAAATTATTCCATCATTTTTTCTTTATTTCTATACTTTCTCCGTTCATATTAGTTGTCTATATTACTAAAAATAATTATTCCAAATTTAGAATGCATTAAAAAGACTTAAAGGGTAAATTAGTAAAAAACTATTATTCTTATTTATGTCTTAAGAAACGTATAAAATAAAAATAGATAAGTAATATAAAACGGAGAAAGTAAATACTAAAATTTCAATGAATATCAAGCTCCGAACCCAAATTCTAAAGGTACAATAAAATTTAACGATAAATTAACAATTAAAAATCGAACATACTAAGTTTAAATCTTGAATCTTTATAAGTTTATTTTAACTCAATAACACCGATTTTAACTTTTGTATGTGAATTAAAACTTTTACTAGTTAATTATAAATAAATAACAAATTCAAACTTCAGCTTATGTACATATAGGACGGAGCCAACTTGAGGTCAAGAGGTTCATTTGAATTCTATTCGGTGAAAAAATATATTATTTATACATAATTAATATATATAGTATAGTATAGATGTTAAACCTCTTCAGTCAGTTTGTGTGTCTACATTTTCGTAATTTAAAACTTTTTAATGAAAATCCTGATTCTGCCACTGCTTGAACATAGGGTGGAGTAAAGGGGCGAAAGGGAGTTCATCTAAACCCTCTTCTTTTTTGAAATTCCACTATATACATCAGATGATGAATTTTTTAATGAAAATTCTGTCTCCGTTACGGCCGAGACATATATAGGATTTTGAGGAATGCTCTACAATCCAATGCATGAAGACCACAAGTAGCTATACCCACTAACTCACCTACTCTTCAAATTCCTTTTCATTTGTATAGCTAGGCAATATTATTAGTGGGAGTGGGGGCAATTTGCAATGGAGGTTTTTGACATTACTTTTTTTTTTTTTTTGAAATGTAAGCTTTGAATGACAAATGTGTCTTCTAGCTTTTGTTTTGGTTTTAGTGCTCTTCAATTCCATGTATAGCACGCTTACCTTTTGACTTTGCAACTCAATCATATCACCACAAAAAATCTATTCAAATCCTATTTCTATAGTTTTTGTACTCTTCTCGTTTGCTGTAAGGGATAAAAATAAATAATTTTGGTATAAAAAAATAGTTTAAGGATAAAATATTGGTATCTTGTTTGGTTGACATATTTTGAATAATTTATCCCACCATCTATACCATAATGATGAGATAAGTTATCTCATATATATGATGTGATAAGTTTATCTTAGAATAATTAATCATGAGATAACTTGTTCTCAACCAAACGTTCCTAATTTTTATTTTTATTTTTGCTCTTTTTGGCTTTATTAGTGTTGTGAAAGCAAGTTAGTTTGTGAGTATATATTTAACATACTATCAATTAATGCTTATTATGTAAAAGATTATGAGTAAGTTATCTTATAAATAACCCAATTTTGATGATTTATTTTTATATCAATAAAGTATAGAACTTAAATTTTATTAATTTCTATGTTTTAATTTATATGACCTTATTTGAATTTTGAAGTATGAAAGTCAAACAATCTGATTTTCGATGTGAATTTGAACATGAAATCTTCGATAAGTATTTGAGAAATCATTGTTAAAATAGATTTTTTAAAAAACTTTAAATAGTAACTAAAACGTATTTCCTCCATCTCAAATCATCAATCATCCTTTTCTAAAATTGTGACTCAACTCAAGACAAAATTCTTAATTTTTTCATTTTACTCCCAGTAGTAATTACTTTTGAAGATTATAAACACTTTAATTACGGGGAGATGACACATATATATATATATATAATGATGAGAGATTTTATATCTTAAGAACATAAATAAAGATAAATTGTTAAAAATCTCTTGATTAATATTTTCTTAAGAACGTGAAAGAGAGAAACACGATAGCTAATTTGAAACTATATATATATCAACTTCAATTCAAATTAAACTCTGAAATTGCGAACTAGTGAAGCCTAATTTCAGATTCGAAGTTTTGAAGTTCTAATTTCAAATTTTAAAATTTCAAGTAAATTTCAAATTTGGTGGTTAGACTTTAAATACGTTATAAAACTGACTATTTTTCTAAATAATAATTTGTCTAAAAGTGACAATATGTACAAATGACTGTATAATCAAGACTTAACTAAAGGTTGGGCCACATTAGCTATGTATAACAGGTTAGGTTTTCCAAAAAAAATTGGCCCATCTAATTAATTATCTCGAAGAATAATGTTGACACCAAGACGGATATATATCCTTTCGTCAATTAATTTAGGGAAATTTACATGAAAAAACTAACTTATATCAATAAATTACTTAAATAGCTAATGCTTGCTTTATTTACCATTCGCCACTTACTTTTTGTCATAATTACGGTTGTCAGTTTTTGTATAAGCATGCCTTTTTTTACCCGGCTTCACACGCTACTTGTGAGTCTCTGCATAATTTTTCTTTTTACCCCTTTTTCACCCAAAATTCAAAATTTCAGTCTCTCCCTCTCAATTTGTTCTCTTCAGTATTTTTTCAGGTTAATTGTTTTTCCGGTTTCATACTTATTTCATTGTTTTTGTTTTTGTATATTACTGTGAATTTTTTTGTTCCTTTTCCTTTTTTTGATTTTATACATTCAAAATCCAAAATCATAGATGAAGAAGAAACACCTTGTAAGAGAATCACTAGAGGTATACAATCGAATCAAGAGTTTTTGGATGATTTTTCATCTTTTTCTTTGGGTTTAACTCAGGATTTCCAAGAAATTTCAGGGTCCATTGCTAAATCTCAAATTAATCAACAAGAGGGTATGTCGAAGTCTAGTAATACCCCATTCAAGATGAAAGAAGTCATGCATGTTGCAAAATCAAAAGGAAAGACCAAAAATTTGGATAAACATAAAGAAGACAAATCAGTTGATGTTTTGACTTCAAAGAAGAAGCGTAAAGTAAAAGAGATTGCATCTACAAGCAATAAACAAGACAAATCAGTTGATATTTTGATTTCAAAGAAGAAGCGTAAAGGAAAAGATATTGCATCTATAAGCAATAAAGAAAATGCCCAATCTGATTCAGTTGAACAACTACATTTTGGAAGAATTGAGGTAATTTGTATAATATATAAATGTATATATATTTGAAGTTCAGATCTAAAGGTCTATGTCTATCTGTAACTGTTTGAATATATTTGTACATGTATATACAAAATGAAATTTTATATTTCAATAGTTGTTGTCTTTATTTTGAAATTTGTGTTATACTTATTTTCAAATTGTATAATTCTTTTTGTTTCACAGTTGTATCCATATTTGTATAACTTCGTATTTGTATATAGATATTCACTTTGTATAACTCCGTATTTGTATATACGTATATTCACTTTGTATAACTTCAACTTTGTGTATAGATATTCAATTTGTACAGTTCTATATTTTTGTCACTATTTTGCTATCTGTGTTGTATAATTATACATTTGAAATTGTATTATACATTTACATTATTTATTAGGGAGTACAATTTATTCTCAAGGAAGATCCACTTTACACCGCACATGCAATGCTATACCAATATTGGGGTAATGGATCAAGCTGAGACGATTAGTGACAGTGAGGCACCAGCCAAGCCAATCAGATCAAACGTTGATGTGGATAGTAGTGAACGTATCACAATCACTTAGTTTTATTGTATTTTTTTTATGTTTGTTTGGAATCTTGTATTAGCAGTAATACTTTTTGAATATTCCAGTTTGATGGGAACAACATTTTGTTGGCTCTAT